AACAACTTCTTATCGCCTTTATTTTATTTCGACGTTAAGAAAGTAAATTTAACACATTGCACACACGTATCTAGCCCAATTACACTAAAGCAGTAAAACGGAAATTAAGTTTTAAGATTGTCACTGAATTGCAGCGTACTACTAGGTGAAAGTCCACGTAGTTTTTTTACTTTTCATGTATCATTTAGTCAAACGCTCAGCTGCCTCCATAAACCCGTCTCGCGAAATGGCGGAGTTGACAGAGACAGCCGCCATCTTGGGTCCGCTTCAGATTTTCAAATATTAATATCTAGAGTTCTGATTAACCAATACCCAAACAACTTATATAGTAAGCATCGATCAAAGGGTCTCTATTATCATTCCAAAAATAAATAAAAAATGTTGAAAAACAAAAAAGTTAGAAAATATGATTTTTTCAATTCGCTTCTCCTAACAACAGGAAGTACCGACGACGAACAAAGTGTCACGTCCTGGATGGTATATATCACGATCTATAATCCCTGAAAGTTTCATGTTGATATCTTTTACCGATTTTGAGTTTAATCGAGGACAAAATGTCATTTTAATTTCAGGAAATTGTCCGTAACTTGGCACCGGAAGTGAGTTTTTAAATTTTCTCTCGGATATACAAAATTCATGTTACGACACATCTTTTCTGAAAATTTCACGTCATTCAATCCAGTAGTCTTCGAGAAATCGCGTGCACAAAATTAGAAAGTCAAAAAAATAATAAAAAGAATAATAATAATAATAATAAGAAACAGTAGAATCACTATAAGGTCTTCCGTGAAGACGGAAGACCTTTATAATAAGAAACAATAGAATCACTATAAGGTCTTCCGTGAAGACGGAAGACCTTAATTACAAATTGTCGCATAGGTTCACGTCAGAAAATGGTGGACGCAAAATAATTCCTGAATTTTCCTCTTTAACTCGAGCAATCCTGCATTGGACAGGGCCGATGTTTATTATGAGATGATAAAACATGTGTAAACTTTCTTAGTTCAGCGGAATCATGGACATTTTCGGCATTATGAATGTTTTGTTTACTGTAGCGGTGAGGGCATCGCGCAGCTATTGGAGTGGATCCAAGGATTTATGAATGAATAAAAAAGATGGAAATAAAGTTTGATATCTTCTGTATTATTTAGTGACATTATTCATTTGCAATTAATAGATATATACAAGAAAACGCGAAATGCTAATAAATGCAGCTGAAAATCTTTATTTTCTCAAGATAAAAAAAAAATTAAATTAAATAATTATAAATTCTACATACAAAACATAGGAAGAATGAATGATGGCAAGTTATCAGATGACATCAGGGGAACTGATTTTTATGAATGAAACTTTTAAAACGTTACTTGTACGTTGTAGATGTTATATCTGCGAAGTCTACCTGTCTGGGCGCTTCCGGGAGGGGGGGGGGGGGGTTCTTGAATATAGACTTGTAAATTACCATTATTTTGTAGAAAGAATTAAGCCTTATCATTTTCTTTACTTTAAGAAGAGTGTCTTGTTATGTAAAAGTCAAGGTCAGTTTATGTAGAATGTAAAAATTAAAGCCGAATTGGCATTCATTTCAATATGTGAGAAAGGTGGGGGATAGGTCTTTTACAGTTCACAAAAAAGAAATGGGAGGGGGGGATAAGATGAACACATATAATACATTCAATATACACACTTTATTTACTAAAATCTCGTCTCAATTGAACCAGGGAAGTTTTTCTACAGGTCCTTTCGCCATCGCGTCAAAGACTTTACCTGCACACTTGTGTATTGCACAATGGGTTTTCCCCCCGCGAAGTCTATTTAGGAGAAAATGAAACTGAATATTTTTTAGTGTTTAAGGAAACGTTGAACCTACGTTTGCGAAAGTTATTTAATTCCTTCTTAATCAAATCAAGAAACTGTTTATACGTAAAATCATCAAAAAGGGGCTTTAACTTTCACCATGAATATCACAGAAAAAAGAAGAAAGAAAGAGAAAGAAATGTTCAAAATCGAGTTTTAATTCCCTTTTCTGTGACGACCGGAAGTATTGACGATGGAAAAAATGTTAATGGACAAATCTTGAAGTCATGATCTATGATATCTGACACAGTTAACTTTCATATCTTAAGCTGTTCTGGAGAAATGGACCGGACAAAGGTCATTTCCAAAATTTGGTCAATACGAAAATAGTAAGAATACTAGATACGATCTCGTTGCGAGCAACGAGAGGTCTTCCGTCCGATTCAGGAAAAAAAAACTTGTAAAATCGAGCTGAAAAGTGATTCAAAATTTTGATCACAAGGAGGATTGAATCCAGGTCGCCAACGTGAATGCGCCTTTTTTTTCTCTTTTCTCCCCAACGCGCGAACCATTTAGCTATTGGGAATACTGCTTTAAATATACTTGTGTATACTTTTGCAACAGTACACCTGTCTGAGAATCATAAAAGGCGGGTCACTATTCATAATTTCGTGTCAAAAGCCACGCATAAATATTCGCACCTTTTCTTTGTACTGATCTATTAAAGAGGTGCAATAGCTTCAATGAAATTAATTAAAACATTCTTATCACCTTTATTTTATTTCGGCGTTAGGAAAGTATATTTAACACATTGTACACATTACATATCGTACTAGCCCAGTACATGTAACACTAAAGCAGTGAAACGGAAATTAAGTTTTTTAAGATTGACACTGAATTGCAAGATACTACTACGTGAGAGTCCAAGTAGTTTTTTGCATTTCATGTATCCTTATGTCAGAATGGTTTAATCAAATGCTCAGCTGCCTCCATAAGCCCCTACTCGCAAAATGGCGGAGTTGACAGAGACAGCCGCCATCTTGGGCCCGCTTCAGATTTTCAAATATTAATATCTAGAGTTCAGACTAACCAATATTAAAACAACTTATATAGTAAGCATCAATAGAAGTGTCTCTATTAATATTCCAAAAATAAATGAAAAATATTGAAAAACAAAGAAAGTTGAAAAATTGGACTTTTTGAATTGGCTTCCGGTAGCGACAGGAAGTACTGACGACGAACGAAAAGTCGCGTCCTGGAAAGTATTGATCATCATCTATAAACTCTGAAAGTTTCACATTGATATCTTTTACCGTTTTTGAGTTTAATCGTGGACAAAATGTTGTTTAAAAATCAGGAAAATGGTCCAAAACCTGGCACCAGAGAGGAATTTCCAAAACCTGTCTTGGAACTTTCAAGAGTATCTTACAACACATCTTTCCTGAAAGTTTCAGGTAATTCTACCCAGTAGTTTTCGAGAAATTGTGTCAGAAAAATAATAATAAGAAGAAGAAGAAGAAACAGTACAATAACTATAAGGTCTTCCGTTAAGACGGAAGACCTTAAATATTACTAGTATATGATTGAATTACAATTTAAAAAAAAAATAATTTTGTTTTAACTCCTTTTACCACATTATAACATAAATACAAAAAATAAATATGTACGCGATTTACAAATCAATATATAAATCGGGATCGAAAATCGAAGGTATTTCAAAATGGCGCCATAACACTGTGGGGGAAGACGTAATTTTCAACATAAAAATTAAAAGTTCAATCTAATAATTAGCACATCGTAAATAATTTTGCATTACTGTTCTTACATTGAATGTGCTCTTTGACAAACGAAACCTGGTCCGCTTGATATACAGTAAGCCTATATTATGCGTGCCGGTAAATTTTGAATTAGGTAACATTTCACCCGACTTTCAAACTTTGTGAACAAACAAGAAAATACAGTAAGTCATAAGAGACTATTTCATAATTTCTAGACTAGAAAATATTGATTGATTTCATCATTTAATTATATTTTATATTATGCATAATGATGAACTTGAAAATAAACAACGAAATTTTCAAAATTAATATTTTCCTGCATTTTTCCTGCACTCCGGATTCTGTCTAAACCGGCCAAATTTTATGGAACCGGCAGTAGCCGGTTTGGACAAATTATACTGTATATTTATGATGAGGAAGGGTCATTCTTTCTGAATTGGGAATTTTAAGACCCCTGGGTCAGAGGTACCATGGGGGGGGGGGGCTCTACATATATGAAAATGAATTGATTGTTTGAAATCTCTCCTTGGTATGAATCAAACATTTTTGTTAAGCAAGGGTGCCTTTTCCAAAATTGTGAAATGTGTGGACCAAGGGTTGGGTTCATGTGTGGAAGTGTCACTACTGATTATCGCGGAATATTACTGATTTGTCGAAATGCATTGTTTTGCAGGCACGTAGCATCGTTTTTGAAAGTGGGGAGGCCAGCCAGAAAAAAATTTTTTTTTTACTTACCTGAAAAAGTTGACAAGCAAAAAAAAAAAAAAAATAAACGAAAATTGCCCAAACTCGAAAATCCTATTTCAGGGGGGGGGGGGGGTTGTGGCCAACTTTTTCGGAACTAACTTACTATCACTTCCAATTTTTTCCCTACAATCCTTGATTTCACCATACTATGGTATAAAGTGGGGGGGCCAACCATCCTTTCAATGAACATTTACTATAGTATAGGTAATGTTGGGGAAAAAAGTGGGGCCCCCCCGGTTGCTACGTCCCTGTTTTGTTCCCCTATTTTGTCTATGGGTATTAAGTAACCAAAGCAAGCAAGCATAGTGTATAGCTATGATAATTAATGGTGCCTCTTTCAAAATTGTGAATGCCATGACGTCTAGTTTAAAGCATGAACTAAATTCAATCATTGGAAAGTTGTTGCATGTCAGATGCTCAATGCATTTCTTGCTTCAATTATTCTGAGTTACAATGCAGACATAATTCTCGAGGCATGGTTCTGTAGAAAAAGACTTTTTTTAATGTAATTTAAATTACAATGTATTTCATGTGTGTACTGATCAAATTATAAGCAAATCCTTTTAAAATAGGCTTAAAAAATACAACCGACTGATAGGCAAGTAATATATAGTATTTAAAAAAAACTGAATTTGATATCAATCATTTTACCAGCTAAAATGGATTTGTACATTTTTGTAGATTCGTTATTGGAAGAAAACAAGTCCGGGAATTCTAAAGAGAATAGAAATACCTGCTAGAGTTTTGAGTGTTGTTAATACCAGTATGATTGAAACCCAAAGGATAAGGGAAACAATACATAATCTTCCAGCTTTCTCAGAACTTCAACTTGATGTATTGGTGAAGAATACCGAGTTTGAATCAAAGCCAAGTGATTTAATTGATCTTGTCACACCAGAAGGAGGTAATGTGTACTATTCATTTTTAGCTCACCTGAGCTGAAATTCATGTGAGCTTTTCTGATCACAATTTGTCTTTAGTCTGTCTTTCTGTCCATCTGTACATTTTCAACTTTTTCTCCAGAACCATTGGACCAATTTCAATCAAACTTCCAACAAAGCATCCTGGGGTAAAGGGGATTTAAGATTGATCAAATGAAGGACCAAGTCCTCTTTCAAGAGGAGATGAATTAAGAAGAAGTGAAAACTTGGAGGCATGATTTAAAAATCTTCTTTTCAAAAACTACTGGGGTCAAGAAAGATGAAACTAATGTTGAAGCATCCTCAGGTAGTGTAGATTCAGATTTGTATAAATCATGACCCATGGGGTAAATAGGGGCCACAATGGATGGTCAAAATTTGATATAGCAATAAATCTTTAAAATCTTCTTCTCAAGAACAACAAAGTTATGACTGGTCATATTTATATGGAAGCATCCTCAGGTAGTGTAGATTTCAGTTTCTTCAAATCATGACCCTTAGGGATAGGGTGGGGTCACAATGGATATTATTTAGGTATATGTGGAAAATCTTTAAACATCTTTTTCTTAAAAACAACACAGCCTTGATTGATCATATTTATTTGGAAGCATCCTCATGTAGTGTAGATTAAAATTTGTTTCAATCATGACCTCTAGGGGTAGGGTGGGGTCACAATGAGTGATCAAAGGTTTACATACGATTATATAAGAAATTTTTTTAAAATTCTTCTCAATAACAATAAGCCATGATTGGTCAGATTTATATGGAAGCATCCTCAGGTAGATTCAAATTTGTTCAAATCCTGAACCCTGGAGGTAAGGTTGGGCCAAAATGGAAGTTTAAACTTATAAGGAAAAAATACAGCAGTATGTAATGTTCAATCAGAATATGTAAGAAATATGTAAGCATTCCTAGTAAATGTAGATTCAAGGTACAGTGGACCCTCATTTATCCGGACGCTTTGGTTCCCAGTCAATTTGTCCGGATATGTGAAGCATCCGGATATCTGAATCAACAGTTAAACAAGACAAAATAGCATTTAAAAATTTCGTTCCGATGAAAAATCGTCCGGATACTGAAGCATCCGGATATCTGGCGTCCGGATATCTGAAGGTCCACTGTAATTCAAATCACACCTCCACCCTTTGAAGGTGTTTCCACCCTCACAATTTTAATGGTACATAAACTGCATTAATTTTCATTGCAAAAAATGTATAGGTCACAATATTATTTAAGATGCGAAACAAATAAACAGAAGTGTATGTCAACATAAAAAAGTCGCACATTTTTTGTAAACAGTATTATGAAAAATATTCAAAAAACTGGTCAAAATGCATAATTTTGATGCTGAATGTTCCTAAATACTTCCTACTTATAAGATGCTTTTGAATTGTGAATATCGGGGAAACTATTTTACATTAGAAGTACAAAAAAGCGCAAATGACTGAATGAAGAGACCGTAAAAGGAGTAATTGCCTTTGTCAGCATTTTTAAGCGGTTAGCTTCGCTAACCGCTTTATGGCATGTATCGACACCAGAAACTTCCATAAGGCGCTACCTATCGACAACGGAAACTTCAACAAAGCCTCTACCTATGATTTGTTTCTGACACATATAACACATGTTAAATAAAATCAAGACTATCAAAACAACATAATCTTTCGGTTTTTAATTTTTTCTGATTTTGTTTGAAAATGAAATAAATTTATAATTGTTGTATTAAAAAAGTTTATGTATAGCAGCATTTGGTGTCGAGATTGAATTTCCGTGACGTCAGCTGATGGCGATCGGGCCCTGTCACGAAATTCGAAGTCAACTTGAAGTTTAGCTGATAACATTATCAACGCGTTGGATTTAAACTTAAGGAAGAAATATATAGCGAGAAATATCATATTTGAACCCAATGCTACACGAAAACCAGTAGGCATATCCGATTTTTGTGTTAAATTGAAGCCTGAATCGAACAGGGGGTCAAAATGGCATTGCACACCTTGTGTATTTATACATGTATATAGAGGGGGTAGAATGTTTCGATATTTGGCTTATTTAGAGACTTACTGATAAAAATTCAGGTGCCTCTGATTAAATGTAAGGCACCCCTCATGAACAATAAATATGCTACTGGGCACAGGGAGGACGGGTTAATTACTGGCTAAAGGGGTTGAAGGTTATTACCGACTGCAAAACATCGGAGAATCTCTCGATCGAGTTTCATTTTCCTTGCCAAAATATTATGACATCCCGTTTGTTTTCTTCTCCTTTTTTTCTCAATTGAAATTATTTAAAAGATGATGAAAGCTTTGTTTCCAGGGATAAATTCTGTACTAAGTCTAATTATTACAAACGATCATAAACGATCACATTTTTATTTAAATATTTGCCAAATACCCAGTATATGTTCGTTTATACATATCGTGCTTGCACTTTTTTAGGTCACCTGAGTAAACTCAGGTGACCTATTGCTATCTGTTTTCGTCCGTCGTCGTGCGTCTGTGCGTCGTGCGTCGTCCGTTAACATTTGAACATTTTCAGCTTCTTCTCTGCAACCAGTGAACCAATTTCAACCAAATTTGGCACAAAGCATCTATGGGTGAAGGGGGACAAAAATTGTGAATTTCATGATCCCTGCCCCCCTGGGGCCTGAGGGGTGGGGTCAAAATCACTAAAATTAGTGCAATCTTTGAAAATCTTCTTCTTTACTCCTGGACATCAAGCAGTCAAACTGTTAGCATGATTGTAATCAGCATTGAGTCCTCTACCAAAATTGTGAAATTCATGGCCCTGGGGTCAAGGGTTCTAGTGCTAGGGAGGGGCTAAATAAGTATATAGTAAAAATGCATTATTTCTTTGAAAATCTTCTTCTCTGCTCCTGGGTATTAATTAAATCAACTACCGGTAAGTGCATAGTTATAATGAGCAAGAGTGCCTCTACCAAAATTGGGAATTTAATGGCCCCAGTGTCAGGGGTTCTGGTGTTAGGGTGGGGCTCTATAGATTATATAGTGAAAATACATGAATTCTTTGAAAATCTTCTTCTCTGTTCCTAGGTATTAAATAAACTAAGCAAGTGCATAGTTATGATGAGCAAGAGTGCCTCTACAAAAATTGTGAATTTTATGGCCCCAGGGTCAGGGGTTCTGGTGTTAGGGTGGGGCTCTTTGATTGATTATATAGTGAAAAATACATGAATTCTTTGAAAATCTTCTTCTCTGTTCCTAGGTATTAAATAAATAAACTAAGTGCACAGTTATTATGAGCAAGGGTGCCTCTACCAAAATTGTGAATTTTATGGCCCCAGGGTCAGGGGTTCTGGTGTTAGGGCGGGGCTCTATAGATTATATAGTGAAAATACATAAATTCTTTGAAAATCTTCTTCTCTGTTCTTAGGTATTAAATAAATAAACTAAGTGCATAGTTATTATGAGCAATGGTGCCTCTACCAAAATTGTGAATTTTATGGCCCCAGGGTCAGGGGTTCTGGTGTTAGGGTGGATCTATAGATTATATAGTGAAAATACATAAATTCTTTGAAAATCTTCTCTGTTCTTAGGTATTAAATAAACTAAGTAAGTGCATAGTTATGATGAGCAAGAGTGCTTCTACAAAAATTGTGAATTTTATGGCCGCAGGGTCAGGGGTTCTGGTGTTAGGGTGGGGCTCTATAGATTATAGTGAAAATACATGAATTCTTTGAAAATCTTCTTCTCTGTTCCTAGGTATTAAAAAAACTAAGTAAGTGCATAGTTATGATGAGCAAGAGTGCCTCTACAAAAATTGTGAATTTTATGGCCCCAGGGTCAGGGGTTCTGGTGTTAGGGTGGGGCTCTATAGATTATAGTGAAAATACATGGATTCTTTGAAAATCTTCTTCTCTGTTCCTAGGTATTAGAAAAACTAAGTAAGTGCATAGTTATGATGAGCAAGAGTGCCTCTACAAAAATTGTGAATTTTATGGCCCCAGGGTCAGGGGTTCTGGTGTTAGGGTGGGGCTCTATAGATTATATAGTGAAAATACATGAATTCTTTGAAAATCTCTGTTCTTAGGTATTAAATAAATAAACTAAGTGCATAGTTATTATGAGCAAGGGTGCCTCTACAAAAATTGTGAATTTTATGGCCCCAGAGTCAGGGGTTCTGGTGTTAGGGCGGGGCTCTATAGATTATATTGAGAAAATACATGAATTCTTTGAAAATCTTCTTCTCTGCTCCTAGGTATTAATTAAATAAACTAAGTAAGTGCATAGTTATGATGAACAAGAATGCCTCTTCCAAAATTGTGAATTTTATGGCCCCAGGGTCGAGTTTCTGGTGTTTGGGCGGGGCTCTATTGATATTATAGTGAAAATACATGAATTCTTTGAAAATTTTCCTTTCTGCTCCTAGGTATTACGCAGGTGAACATACCTATATAGTTATGATGAGCAAGGGTCCTAATCTTCCAGAATTGTGAATTTCAAGGCCCCTGGGTCAGGGGTACCATAGACAGGGGGGGGGGGGGAGGGGGGTGTACTTATATAGTGAAAATGAATGAATTGTTTGAAATCTGCTCCTTGGTATTAATCAAATATTTTTGAAAAGCAAGGATGCCTTTTTAAAAATTGTGCAATGTGTGGCTTTAGGCCTAAGGGTCAGGGTTCATGTGTGAAAGGGGCACTTATACACTGATTAGTTGACATGCATTTTTTGCTCCCCTACCCTGCCTTTGGGTATTAAGTAACCAAACTAAGCAACTGCTAAATGTATTGTTATAATGATCAATGGTTCCTCTTTCAAAATTGTGAATGCTATAGAATCTTGCTTAAAACATGAATCAAATTCAGTCACTGGAAAGCTTTTGCATAATGCTCAGGTGACCTATAAGGCCCATGGGCCTCTTGTTTTAAATAATTGTCATATACCATTTACTTATTCAAACATTTAATTGTATGAAAAGTCAATAATGTACATTTCTTAAAACTTTATTATCTTGTTTACTTGTCTTTCT